TCAAAAAGAGCATTTGAAGATCTATCTAGAAGTACAATGCTGTCTGTGATAGGATAATATCCATATGCCTACAAGGAAGACCAGTTAATACCACTATTATTCAAGTTTACTCACAAACCACTAAAGCCAGTTATGATGAAATTGAAGAATTCTACTAACTTCTTTAGTCTGAAATTGATCAAGCATGCAATCAAGATGCATTGATCATTACTGGTGATCGGAATGTTGGAAGTTGAAAACAGGAAGGATCAGTAGTTGGAAACTATGGCCTTGGTGAGAGAAACGATGCTGGAGATCACAGCAGTCAGGAAATTACATATTGTACTGCACTAAGTAAATCTGCTGCACAAGATCTCTTTAAAGTGTTCAAGAGCCAAGATGTCAGTCAGTATGAAGACTAAGGTGTACCTGACCCAAGCCATGATATTTTCAGTAGCCTCATATGCATGTGAAAGTTGGACAATAAGGAAGGCCCTAGAAGAATCAATGCATTTGAATTATGGTGTTGCCAAAAAATACTGAAAATGCCATGAACTGCCAGAAGGACCAACAAATGTGTCTTGGAAGAAGTACAGCCTGAATGCTCCCTAGAAGCCAGGATGGCATGACCTCCATCTCTCATACTTTTTTTCAGCTCTGCCCTGGAGAAGGACATCATGCTTGGAAAAGTGTATTGCTGATGGTAAGTGCTGCCACGTCGGTTCCAATTCATAGCGACCCTGTATAGGGTTTCCGAGGAGCTCCTGGTGAGTTTGAACCGCCATCCTTGCAGTGCAGCCCAGTACATTAACCCATTGCACCACACCAGGATAGAGTCAGCAAAAAAGAGGAAGAACCCCAACAAGATGGATTGACACAGTGGCAGCAACAGTGGGCTCAAAACAGCAATTGTGGGGATGTGCCCTGTCAGTGTTTCATATGAACAGGGCACAGGGACGCTATGATGTGGACCCGATTCCACAGAACCTGGCAACACACAGGTGGGCTTTGAAAAGTTGATGGAAAAATGGACTTTAAAATAAGATGCATTACTGGTTGTGAAAGTTGGAAAATAGGAGTTTGGTGATAGAAACAATGTTGGAGATTGCATGATAGAATTTTGCAAGACCAATGACTTATTCATTGAAAACAC